GGGCAGAGAGAGAGGGAGACACAGAATCCGAAGCAGGCTCCAGGCTCTGAGCCATCAGCACAGAGCCCAAGGCGGGGCTCCAAGTCACGAACCCTGAGATCATGACCTGAGCTAAAGCCTGACGCTTAACCAACTGAGCCACCCAGGCGCCCCTGCACTTTCTTCTAAGCAAGTGTTTGTTTTTTCCTGGTCTTAATCTATGGACACTTCTAACCGTGGAGAGGCCTGTATCCTGCCTTACGTTGGCTTCCACGTTGCTCAGAACAAGTTTCATACAAGTATCTAGGACCTGACAACATTCATTTTATACATAATAAGCTCATTTCTTACTCAACTTTGTGAACTACACACACACATACATACCTGGAGTTCGACAAAACAGTCCTTTAACAAAAGAAGAGTAACACGCATATAAACCTCTCTCAAAACTGTCTCATTTATAAGCAGAACTTGAAGCTAAGGGAGGCCCTCACACAACCATCTCAGGAGAGGTGGTGGTTGGTGACATACCATTAGATATCAATGGCTCAGAACCCTTCTGCAGTCAGCCACGGGCCGATTCCAGCAAAGACAAGGGGAGAAAGTTACCAAAGAGAAGGCATCTGTTGACCATGTTTAGAAGCTGGTTTAAAAGTCCTGGCTCCACCAGTCTGCCCTGCAGCGGTCAAAAGGGGCCCAGGGTGAGACGGGGTCTGTGCTGGGGCAGGTCCAGAGCAGGAACTGCCCAGAGGAGCAGATGGCAGAAGTGAGGACAGTGAGCCTGGAAAGACTAGCCTGTGCACAGGGCCCAACAGGATTAACCCTCTTCCGAGGAACTAGGCACAGATCTGGTCTTGGCCCCTGCAGAAGCGGAGTTAGTGCAGTACAAGAAAGGCATAAGGAAGCAAGTTAGGCTCTCTTATAAGGAAGGGCTTTATGAGACATTTCCAGCAGGGGGTGGCTGCCTTGGGAAGTGATGCAGGCCACAGCCCTGCAAGTGTTTGGTGGAGGAGGGGAGTCAGCCTGTCAGGAATGCACTTGTAGGAACTGCCCCATGGGACGGTCGGGACCAGGCGGGAAGACTTCTCCAGTCCTTTCAACACCATGAGGCTATGAGTCTGTTGTTTAAGACACTCAGTGTCTCATCCGGGGCTGAGTCTATTTCAGGCCAACTCGACAGGACAAGAAATGAAGCTGCATCCCCAAAACATAGATTGTGGGGCCCTCTGGACACAATGCACTGATGAACAAGAAAATGAGAAAGGGACCGAATATGATAAAGGAATCTCATTATAAAAGTCTGCAGGTCCCCAACCTCTTTTTCTCACATGGGGGCTCAGGAGGGATTGGAACTTAGCTGCCATCTCTTTACAGCTCCCTCCATGGGGAGGTGCTGAGATAATGGTCTCTAGAAGCCCTGAATTGGAGAAGAGCCACCTCTGTGCGCGCCTGGCTCTGAGTGCCCTAGATACAGGCTGCCCTGCCGGAGACAGACCTCATTAACGTCCTAACTAATTGGATCTGTTCTGCCAACCTGAGAATACACTTGAAAGATTACACATCTTTGATTCTAACATGAACATAAATTTAGCAGCAGCCTGTGTGTGTGTGTGTGTGTGTGTGTGTGTGTGTGTGTGTGTGTGTGTGTTGGGCGAAGGCAAGAGAGAAATCCTGTTACGGGAAACGTAAACCTTGATTATAAGGTGAATCCCCATTTCACAAAAGCGAAATATAAAGTGTTTTTGAGACTACGGTGGTAAGATCTTGTCCCAGTTCCTGGAATAAGGGAACCAGGGTGATAAGGCTGTGGCAGGATCTGGAGGTCACAGAAGGAATACCAAGGACAAGGAAACTTGGGTAGAAAGGGAATTAAGACGGAAAAGGGGGAGGCTGAGGTCTTCTTTGTGAGGAGGAAGGCTGCCTGCACTGGGGCACTTTTCCAGAGTGCACAGACCCTGCACTAGCTAGACCAGCACTCCCCTGGCCATGGAGTCCAGGGACCTGATAGGCAGCTTCTCCAGGAACCGGAGATGGCTGATTTCGGCTGACCCAGCAGCAGCGCCCTTGATGGTTTTCGGGGTGAGGCCCATCTAGTCTGAGCCCAGCACGCAACACAAGCAAGCCTCCCAGATGGACAGACAGCCCGGCTCCTTTTACCTTCCTGCCAACGCCAGACAGTGATGGTGTGCTCAGGGTCCACTCCCACCGATACAAGGAGCTTCCCAGTGGCGCTGAAGTTGATGTAATTCACCCCCTTCGAGTGGAAGCACCGCAGCATAGAGAGCGTGTGTTTGGTCATGGCATCCCAGATGTGGATTGAGGGTGTTGTTCCTGAATGTGGGAGGCATGACACACAACTAAGGCTGAAGAATGGCGGGGCCAAGGCAAAGCTTACGTTCACCCGGAAGACTTTTTAAGACAAATACTTGGGGGTGTTACAGTTACTGGGCCTAAGAGACCTATAGCCTGACCTGGCCGGAGGTGAAGCAATGAGAAACATCTGTTGTGCTTTTAGAGCCAGAGGCCTAAGAGCGTTTATGTCCACACACACACACTTGTGGAGGAGTTTACACAGAGGCAACTGGTGAGATCAGTGATTTGTATCTGCAGTTTGGCCAGATACAAGCAGCAAACACGATACAGTGACACGATTTTGCTGTGAAGATTCAAACTACTCACGGATGGAACAGCCTTACCTTGGGTCTCCGTAATATCAACTGCATTGGGTGGGCAATGGCAATGAGGAAAGCGTCAAGGGAAAACAATAGCTAAAATAAGTCATGTTTCTGATAGTGAAGCACTTAACACCAGCATCAGGAAGTTCCAAATTAAATTTAAAAATGGACATGGGTTCAATGAAAACAAGCAGAAGGGTATGTTCATAAAAAACTGCCTTTGAAACGACAAAGTTCAAAAAAAACACACACAACTTTTCACAAATGTGAAGTGTCAATCAGTTCACATTTGTCATTGGCAGTTTGCTAGGGTGCAGAAGAGCTGGGCACACAGACAAGCTACCCTTGCCGAGGACAATCACCGGGCTTCGGACACAGGGCTCTTTAACTGACACCTGGCCGGTGAAAAATTATTCTCCACAAGTCCACAGGGATAGGGGCATCCATTTATTTGGATTATCGGGCTCTGGTCTGACTTTATGATCCCTAAGAATCAACAATCACTGGCTATTTCAACTGAGATGACACAGATATACTGAGTGCTCAAAAAAGAACAGCAATGTCCAGAATGGGTAGATGTCCACAACCCACCAACCCCCTTTCCAGACATTTGCTATTAAGTCAATGTCCCTGCTCAGCGGGGAAAAAGCTCAGCTAGGGCACGACCCTCCTACCTATCTGGCTGGTGGCCACCACGTTCCTGTACTTGGGGTGCTGGTTCACCGTGAGGCAAAGGATGTCATCTGTGTGCTCCAGGTAGAAGCTTTGGCTCCCTAGGGGGAAGACACGGGATGGTGAGCAGGGGAGTCTTCGAGACCTCTCAGGACAACCTTGAAGGATTACATAGGGTCTGGAAATGCCTTGTCAAAGTGAGAGATCAAGGCCACAAGCTCGCAATTTTAGAATCATCCTTGGGGAGATGGGAGATCATTTTTTTACATTTACACATTCTCTTCCAGGCCTGGTGGAAGAGCTGGTATCTATTCTCTAGCACACACCAGCTCCCCTGCCATCCCTCCCGCAGCCTGTGTGGGTCCAGAACACAGTCCAAGTGCAAGGCTTCCAGGGTCCAAAGTGATAATGGAGATAATACTTAACTGAACAAAATGGCACCACTTACTCATCTGAAAGGGAAGTCTGTGGAATAAGAAAATACTTCGGGTATCTCTTTTAAACCATTGTTATTTCTCAAAGTGCCAATCCACTTGGGAGCCTACTGGATGGCACAGGTGATGTATTCACCCCCTAAATGCCCTAACTCGACATGTAACACAGAAAATAGAAGAAATCACAGGAAGTATTTATTATCTACTATGGAAAATGGGTTTGCTGACTTCCAAAGTGGCCACTGTAAACCCATCCAAGTAGCCAACACTACTAGGAGGTAAGTGATGGCACTGATAGACAAGGAAACAGCACATTGCTGCTAAAATGATAGTATGTCTAAAAAAAAAAAAAAAAAAAAAAAAAGGTGAAAATGTATAGAAAATTTCAAGGTCCTCCTCCCCAAAAAGAGATCGTTATGTGCTCAGTGACTTCCCTGTCTAAAAATGTATGCATTAAATAAGTGTGTGGAATTGGGAAGGAGCATAAAAATTTGAAAAAAAGAAAGGGGGTCTGTTTTAAGATATAAAGCAAATAAGGCAAGATGTTAACATATTTAAATCTGGTGGCAAAGGTACGTGTCAAATTCATTTCTACATGCTGAGCATCCTTTGCCTTGCAGTGTTTCTTTTCAAACTATTTGTTTCATGTGACTCACCCTATCAGTTAAGGGACACTTTGGGGTGCTTACAGTTTAAGTGTTCTCATCCTTATGGTAAATCTGGTTAACTACTCAAAACAAGCAAAACTTGAAAATTTGAGCTACTAAAAAATTGGTCGCCCCTAACAAATTAGCAAGAAAATCTCCCCTGTGCTCTGTTCTTGGTAACCTGCCACAAGGAATTTCTCCACTCCCTACACCCTCTTTCTGGCTTCTGTCCATCCCTCCCAGCATCTGAGCAGCTGATGGGAAACAGGGACACCTCCCTCAGAGGGCTGACAGCAGGGTGTTGTTCGAAAGAAAGACGGCTGGCTGTGACCTTTGAATGAGGCCTCCACACTTTCTAGGACCAAATGATACCAGTCTGGAATCGAGTGAAAGGGCTCTATCAGGATAAGAATGCGTCAGTTTGGGGGGCATCTCCAGAGTGGGGGAGTACACACAAAGGGACTAAAGTGGGGTCCTGTCCTCAGAGGGGGGTTCTCGGGCTGAGTTACCCGTGGAGAGGCTCTGGAGCACGCCAGCCGCCGCGGTGTGGAAGATGATGTCTGCACCGTCGTTCAGGTAATGCAGGTTGTTGCGACAGTCGAATCCCCTGTAGCCAAACACGTGGTCGAGAGCCAGCTCCTACGTTCCCACACACAGATAAAAGCAGCTCTCAGAGGAAGTAAGCACAGAGGCACAAACCCACACTCTGGGAGCAGCCACTTACCTCATGGGAACCGCATGGCTGGTTAGACAGCCAATACCCCACAAAAAGCATTTTGCTTCTTGACTAGCTGAGGCTACAACGCAGCCCTTTCTTTAGTTCCCTGAAAAGCTAGGGGGACAGGCCAACACACAGAATTACAGGGAACTTTCTAAATAGGCTAGATAGGTTTCCAGGCACTGCAGGGGAGTCAAGGTCTACTGATTAGAAGCCCTGTAAAGGTCACCTAGAAGTTGTATGTCTGTCCCTTGGCAGGCAGTCTTCAGGGGGGCTGAATGGCGGCCTGGAGGTTTGCTCTGATTCCCGCAAATGCCACTGGGCCTGGCAGGGGCCGGATACTGAGGCAAATGCCATGTTCATTCTGTTGCTTGGTGCTTACCCTACAGAGTTTCAACATAATTTGCATTTCCCCCCCCAACAACTAGATGCTGTTCTGGGTTTATAGTCTTTTTCTTCTTCCTGTCTTATCTTCCATGATTAAGCTCAGGATCAGCTATTAATGCGATTTGATGCACACTTCCTGTTGCCAGCACTTCTGTGCCAGGCACTGTGTTGGTTAGTGGGATACAAGGTTAAGAAGACGTGGGTCCCTGATTCTAGGTTCCCTGATTTTTTTCCCCAAAGCTCCTAAAATACAACAACCCCTCCTTACTCCAGAACATTCATTGACTTTCACTGCCTTCGGGATAAAGCCCAAACTCCTAAGTTGGCAGAATTACTTCTACTCACACATCTTCTGTACCCTCGGTGAAGCTGCATTGTCTATTTAGCCCATACATCATGAGCTTTCCTACCTTTATAATTCTGCTTTGTAAAATAGCCCTTGCCTGAAGAGCATTTCTCCTCCTTTCATCTCAGCCTTCCCCTACCCCCACGTGTTTCCCAGAAACTGTCTATGTAAAATGTGACCCCTCATCCCAGTGGACAACTGACTCAAGCTGGGCCAGTCACATGGTTTCTCCCAGGAATTAAGAATTGAGGACACTGGTAGGCTGGGCTGTTTAACTAAGTGAGGAGATATAAACTCAAGTGCTGGGTCATACCCATTTGTCTACCAAAATAGTTCAGGAAGTGTGCAGAAAAAGAGAAGAATGCATCAGACAGACAACCGCAGTGGGCAGAGAGTGGTGCCATCTTGGTTTATGATGGCTTTTCACCTTCCGGATCCTGCGTCTTCTGGCTTGTGCTCTGTTTCATGATAAATTCCCCAATTAGTCCCCCTTTTCTAATAAAAAGTTTTAAGATGGATTCTTCTGTCTTTAGTGAGTTCAAAGTGTGGTAGGAGAGACAGATGAGTAAGAAATAATGGCAGTAGTGTGTGTAACAAGGGCTGTGGGTGAGGGGTGTGTGTGAGGGAGTGTAGGAATGTTCAGGATGAGGAGAATCAAGAAGACTGCACTGAGAAGATGCCAGAGAAAAGCTTGGAAAGACCAGGGTGTGGGCATAGAAGAGGAGAAGACTTCTAAAACACAGGGGCCTGAAAGCCCATGGCAGCTTCAGAAAACATTAGGTATAGGGCTTGGGGGCTGGAGATTTGAGATGCAGTGGCAAATCACAGGTGCTGAGGCTGCAAAGGAGGCTCCTGGGTCAGGTTTTGAAACCATGCACTTGAATCCCACAGGCAATGTGGGAATCTCCTGGGTCTTAAAGCTGAGGTGAAGTGTGAAGTATTCTATTTGAGAGAGCTAATTCTGTGGGAAGCAAGACATGTGTCAGAGAGGGAGGGGACTCTGGAGGCAGAGACAACAGTTAAGAGGCCTCTCTTAGAAAAGAGAAGGTCCACAAAGCTGCAATCCTCAAGTATGAACAACTGAATTTAAATCTCTCTGCACTTCCTGGCTTGGAGATCTTGGGCACAGGACCTAATTAGTCGCTTAGCTTTTCTGAGCTACTGTCCTTATCTGTAAAATGGAAATAACAGTACCTTCCTCATGGGTTTGACAGATTATATGAAATACTTCATGGAAAGTACATACGTAGTACCTGGCTCATGGTGGGTGCTCAGACAACGTTAGAGACAAAGAACAAGCTTGCATTCTCCCTGTGTCTTCCCTGCCCCCGAGTGGGACTGGTCTAGGGGAAAGGAGACAGGTTTGAAGGACATGGGACATTTGCAAGTCAGGACTGACAGGACCTGGTGGCAGGGCTGAAGGAATATGACCCGGCGGGCGTGATTCTGGGATGGGGGACACAACACTCTGTAGAAGGGAGAGGAGACAAGAGAGACCCATCAACTGCACCCAAGTTTACTTGAAGGTATCTTGCCATAAGCAGATGGTAGTGTCCACTGGGCAGGTCTTAGAACACTGATCTTAGACGAAGACCAAAACAGCTTAACTTTCTCACCTCAACCAGTTTCTTTTTTTTGGTGATGTTGTTCTTCTGGAGTTTCTCAGGCTGGGGGGCTGCTCTGCTGACAGGCGGTCTGGAGCAGAGAGTGACAAAAACAGAACAAAACAAAACAAAAACAAAAACACAGTGTTGAACAAAAGGCAGCAAGTTGCTTGTCCAGTGTGCTCAGCTAAGGCCAGAGCCAGGCTCCCCTCTCTCTTGTCCCCCACTCCGAGGACCTTCCCCTGGGTTTGTTTGGTCCTGCTCCCTCCCTCGCTCCCCCAGAAAAAGTAGATTCTGACATTCAGGGTCCCATGTGATGGGGGCTGGATTTATCGGCGTTGGGGTGGGCTTCCTTACACACCTAACGCATCATAGTCAGGGATCAGTCCCTCTACCTCCTGGGAGCCAGGAAGAACACCTGGGCCAGAGAGGCTGGTTTTAAAACTAAAGAGGAGCCTAAGAATGAGAAGGAAGGGGCTGTGCTTCCCGAGTCTACTGGCCATTTTTCACACAGGGATATGCTTATGTTGTTCAGAATTAGGTGGTCAGAGATCATGCCGCGGTGTGAAGTGGGCCTTACAAGCCAGGTTTGGGAAAAGGCTCGGCTGGCCGAGTGCCCAGGTCATTTATGCTACACAAAAGGGCAAGTAGGAAGTATGGGAATAAAAGACAGAAAGAGCACCCACTCTGCCATATACCTTAGGGTTATGGTCTACATTAAACTGCTATCATCATCCCAAAGTTTGCCTTTCCCTTCTCAGTCTTGGATCTGGGCCTCCAAACTTAGGAAAGAGTTTTTATAACGGGTAAGCTCTCTACTCTTACATGAGCAGGCCAAGGTTTTGTAACACGGGGCTCCCTTAAATCAGACTTCTCGGAGTTTAGGAAATGGGTAAGGGAGACCTGTAGCAGGTCCTGCTGCATGTTGCAAATCCATTAGTTATTGCTCTTGGGCTATGCAAAGAGAAAGGATTACCTTGATCCCCTTGTAAGCAGCAAACAAAGCCAAGTGAGAAACTTAGTACAGTTTAGAGCCGCATTAGCAACCACCTCATTCATGCACAAGCATTATCCAAGTGAACAGACATTCCTGTGTGGCACAAACCATGCTTCCCGAGCATGCCAGCAAAGAACTAAAACAGAAATGAAAGAGTGCACCAGTCTACAAATTCAGAAAGCTCATACCCTGGCGTCTCTGGGCAAACTCTGCACTAAAGCGCCTACAGAATAGGGAGAAAAAAGGAAGCCTTGTCAATGCTTCCCGCACGCTCTCCGCGCCTTTGCGGATGCGCCTGGGGACTCTGCTTATTTGAGAGTGTGCTGGGGGAAAACTTGTTGTCAGAAAAACAATAACATCCTCCTGGATGTCGTTGGGAGTTATGCACAATGGATGCTTTGTTTCCGAATCCAGTTCGACTCATAATTTAGCCTACTAATTCCCAGTGTTTCTTGGTAGGGCAGCTTGCCCGCTGGAAAGGCTTGCATTTTCAGGCTGGGGAAAAACAAGTTACCTTTATTTTCTGAGAAAGTCTTCAATCAAAACATGTTATGTAATCATAAGTGATAATTGGACCAAATGGTATTATTATCTGCACTGAAGAATAGGGAGTGAGCACATCTCTGCAAAACGACACCCCCGGCTGATGTCACCGCTGCCAAATTGAGCAAAACCGGGAGGCTGGGGGCATGCCAGTTCTCGCAATTAGACACTTCCTTCACATTAATTATCACTTCCCAGGACATCTGCTCTTTCTTCTGTTTTAGTGGGACTTTCAAATGAAATCCGTGGGTTTCTTCTTTCACCTAAGAATGTTTGAGTGTGTGACAAAAGCAAGCCGAGGTCTGAGATGGGAGCAGTACACTGGGGCTACAGCGTGGTTCAAAGGCAGAACTGGAGATTAAACGCAGGGCTTGTTCCCAGGGTACACACAGGTTGTATAATATGTCACATATTATACAGTGTATACGAGGTATGCATACAAGCACAAACACTGCGTATTTATATATACAGGAGATTGTATATATATACACATAAAGGCAATCCGATGCTTTTTTTCACCTTGATTTTCAGTTAAGAACTGAAAAGTAAAGCAATCTCAGAATGTTTCTTTCTTATTTCACAAGCATATGTTTATGGCTGTATTGCTTCAAAACTGAAGATGAGAGGGGCAAAAGGAAGAAACCTGCATGGTGGCAAATTCAGCGGATTGTTAAGTATAGACCCTTCGCGGTTGTGGATTCTGCATGAACGCTTAGTACTGGATGCTCATCGAACACCTGGGCTTTTCCAGAGTGCTGTGAATACTTACTTGACAATTCCCTGCCTCCAAAGGAAAGCAAGTTAAAACACAATACAAGCATTAAAGGCTTCTTTCCAGGCATCTGTAAACAGTGTTCGTAACATCAGACGTGGGAGGAACTGCCAAAATTCTCAAACGCAGCCAAATGCTGGAGGTTTGGCATTTTTCAGCAGATCTAAATCCTTCCAGATTCAGATTCCATTGGAAATGTGACTCTGAAAAGCTTTGCTGAGGTGGGAAAGAGCAGGGTGTGTGAGAACATTCACTCACTTTTCAGTCCAATAAACTCTTTATAGCTGGTTGCCCCAGCTGGCACTCAGGACGGGAGAGCCAGGAAGGGAGTGAGAGCAGCGAGGATTATCGCTGGGGGGCGGGGGGGGGGGGGGGCCCCGCAACTCAGGAAGGTTAAGAGCCTGATAGGTAAGGTGGTGGGAGCCCCGGTTGGGGGAGGGGCAGAGACACAAAGGGACCTCTGGGGGCAAGTGGAACTTTGAAGTCACTCAGGGAAACAAAGAAGAAATAGAGTTTCCACTGGGCAAGAAACTTAAGAAGGGAATCTGGCAAGAGAGCAAACAAATTGGATAATCAGGAGAGAGGACTATGGACTGGCTTGAGCTCCAAGAGAGCACAAGAGCAGTTTGCCAAGGAAGAGAGTAGAGGCAAGAAGCCAAGGGGAGGCCTGCAGACTCAAGCACGTGACTTGGTGTTAAGTAACGAGGCAGCACTGTTCTTGTCCAGTGCCAGGGGTGCAGGCTGCCAAAGACGCACCCCTACCCATAGATACAGTCCCTACCTCATGTCCCCATGTCCTCTGTGGAAACAGCACACTCTTGGGCAGGGAAGGACCATGAGGAGGTCAGTCCACGCTGCAATCCTGTTGTTCAGCAGCTGGGCTGCTTAAGAGAAAGCTTAGGCTCACTTAAAGATGAGTGGGGTCTTAAAACATGGGCTTGCACCTCACGGAGGCCACCAGAGGTAGCTAGTGCCCAGTGTTTGCCCCTCTTTGTCCCCTCCCCAGGGTGCTGGGATGACAGAATGAAGGGTAGAGCAGAGCACATGATTACCTGAGATGCACAGGAGAGGGTTTGGAGGCAAGGTTTTTAGGGAAGCTTCTGAAATGACTGAAGATGTAATGAAAATCAGTCACAACCCCAGATGAGCACAACACGAAAGCCAACTGGAGAGTGAGGTTCAGAAAGCTAGTAAGAAACAAAGTTGTTGCAAACAGCTTCTATAAAGAGGGGTGTTGGTGTGGAGAAAATCAGCTATATTTAGCCAAGAAATGCAAGTTTAGATTTGTTTTCAGTGTTGTTAGTCAGACAATGTTCAAAGTGTCCTCGGAGTTCGAAACATAGCTTTCTTCAGATTCCAAAATGGGCCATAAAATGCTCCAAGGGTTTTCAAAGTATCTTGGGAAACTAAACTTTTGATCCCTTTTGGTGGGAGCCAGCAGATGACCTGAGCACTATTTCAACATTGTCTTCCAGCAAGACCTATCAGCCCAGGTGGGCTTCAGGTACTCAGGCCTAGTTGTGTTTGCACCTGTGCATTTTTCTGGGGGAAACAAGAATCTGGTTTAAACAGATTTTTTAAACAGATTTTAAACAGATTTTTTAAAACAAAAATCTGTTTTAAACAAATTTTCAAAGATGTACATGATTTGAGAGAGAGAGAAAGAGATTAAGAATCATTGCTTTAGGATAAATCCATGTTGAGGAAAATGCTACAAAGCCATGGGAGATCTCTATTATCAAAACAAAAGGAACTGGATTCTGTTAAATGTATTCCTATGTCTTCCAGAACCTCCTGTAGAGCTGCTCAGTAGTAAAGTGGAGTGGAAGGAAAAGAGTCAGACAGGAGAATTATGGGATGCCCTCAGGGAAGCCTGCCATCTTGAAAATGCTTTGGACTGAAGCCTATAACACAGTCTCATCTCCCCACGCTTTTGAAAAAATGGGGATACAGTCCCAGACTTGGACATTTTAAATGAGTATCAATTTATTGGGGGAGAGGGTGAAAAACTGAGGTCATAAAGGATGGAAAGGAGGGAACTACGAGTAAGGTGGGCAGGCTACTGAAGAGGCTACTCTAATAATCCAAGGGAGGGGTGATGAAGATCTTGACTAAAGCAATGGTTGTAGAGAAGGAAACAAGTGAATATTTAAAGAAATAGTGGTGAAGTAGACTTCAAAAACTCTTGAATTGATTAGATCTAGGGGTTGAAGGAGGAAGAGAATGCAAGTGGTATATCAATTTTCTGCCTGGGCACCTGGCAGAAGAGTGAGGTTGTAAGATGGTGCCATGTCAAACTTCAGACGTCTATGGTCTGGCTTTACTCACTAGAAGTGCAAGTCAGAGGTGGGACTCAGAGAATCATCAGCCAATGGGTGAAATACAGGAGATTAATCAGGAAGAGAGTTGCAAGCCTGAGGCCCAACAACATGTGAATGGCTAGAAGAGGAGGCAGACAAGGGACACTGAGAAGAAATGATGGAAGAGGTAGGACGAGGGCCAGGAAAGATGGTTTCTAAAAAGATATAACTTCACTATCCAATATGGTATCCACTGGCTACATGTGGCTCGTCCAAATTAAGGTGTGCTGTAACTGTAAAATATATACCAGATTTTGAAGACCCAGTAAAAATAATTTTTAAAAAATATAAAATGACTCAATAATTTTCACGATGACATGTCGAAATAATATTTTTAACATATTGGGTAAATAAAACACATTGTTAAAATCAACTTCACCATCTCTTTTAACTTTTTAAATGTTTTAAATGTGATTACTAGAAAAATTACCTCTGTGGCTTGCATTGTATTTCTATTGCACAATGCTACTCCAGAAGAAACAAGTTCTTCCTTTTTAACAAGACAAAGAGAAGATTTGGGAATCAGAAAGTCACCATGCCAGCAGAATGGCAGGGACAGAAGACAGATGGAATGGACTAGAGAGTGAAGGAGAGATTTGTTAAAGCCTGGATGAGAAGGGGAAAGGAGAAGGAAGGTAAGGGTTGGAATATGTGTGTAAATGTTTGGATCAAAGGATTTACTTATTTCCTGAACAGAGTTTGGTAAGGACGGCAAAGACTGAAATGCATTTCTTGGCTGAGGACATGAATCCTGAGGGAGCAGCACAGGAGATATAGGAGAGGAGAGCAATGGTCAGGGAGCACCGATGGCTGGGAGGCTAAGGTCCAAGCAACCAGCTGAGGAACCCACCTTGAATAGGAGGAGGGACTTCATCTCTCTGAGAGGAAAGGATGTGAATGGTTTACATGGGTTGGAAGATGGGAAACAAGATGGAGGAGAGATAAAGAAGTGCCAAGATGGAGTTCATGCCCAATAGCTTCTGTTTTCTTGATAAAGTAGGGGAGAAAAGCCATCTACCAAGAGTGGAGGGGTAGGGTTGGGCGGAAAGGTAAGGAAGGGGCAAAATTGTGTTTGACTGCTGAGTGGCTGGCAGAGGGAGCCAATCAAAGACAAGAAAGAAAACAAAGGAACAGTGGAGAGCACCTCAGTGTAGCTGGCAACATGGAGTCTGGTGAGGGCAATCTGCACCAGTGTGACCTTCTAGTCAGAAGAATGGAAGTATGTGCTGTAGGAGAAATACAGGGATGAAGGGCCAAGAAGACTGGAAAAGTGGCATTCAGGCAGAGAAAAAATGGAGGTATCAAGGCATATAGGATGCTTTAATGAGGATCAAGATTAGGATTACCGGGGATGAGAAATCTAGAGGAGAGAAGTTTAAGTCACTGAGGGAGAGGAGAGCTACTGATGGTGATGTAACCCATGGCTGGCAGGAGCCAGCTCAGCCAAGTTGACCATTAGCTGAACTCCTCAGACAGGAAGTTGATAACTGACAGGGACAGGGAGGGGGAGAAGATGGAGCATGATGGAAACTTCAAAGGATTGGGGTGGGGCTGCTTAAAGAGAGAGCCAATATGCTTTACACACACCCACAAAAACACCCAGATACTCCAAACCTTACAGTCAGGGACACTGTTTCAAGGGGGGCAAATCATGCACCCCAACAATTGCTTCTGCAAACACCTCCCCAGTTACCACCTCATGACCATACAACAGTAGAAAAAGGGAGAGTAACCAGCCCGGTAGCGCCCACTCCCTCCAAATGGAGATCTGAGAGATGTTCAGAGACTTGATAAAAAAAACTGTTTCCAATCCTGCCACTGTCTTGTAAGAGAAGTTCCCTTTCATCAGAAAATCCCTCACCTGTGTGTGATGCATTCTTTATCCCCAGGAGCAAGTGGGTTTGAGTCAACTGATTACACTGTAAGAATATGATTTCCTGGGTCTATTAATCTTTCAAAAAAGTCACTTTACCTCTGCATTTTCAAGCCCTGGCACATTTTCTTTTTATGATAAAAAGTGAACAAACTACTCTTTCATGAATGGCAGGTTTAACCCCTAAAATTATCAGTTAAACGGAAGTCATTATTTTGCTTCAAACAATATGTAAAATCAAGAGATTTGAATAAGGAAAGTCATTTATGAAGGTAGCTTTAAATTCCCTTTAAAAAACCAACTATTCGGCTTTCAGCAGAGTTACATAGCCAAACAATAGGCCTTTGAAATGGTTAATTTCAGCATGTGGGTGGTTTAATAGATATTGTAACTTCACTTCCTTCCACCCTATTAGAGAACAGGAAACTTGCTACCTTTTACCTACTCAGAGCAGCTGTGAGTGCAGAACTCTACAGAATTAAGGGGCAGAGTAAAGAAAAACTCTGCCTAGAGAGAAAAGCTCTGGGTGAATGAGGTCACACCTTGCCGAGGTCATGGTGTGCCCTGTATGCTTGCACTTGCTGTCCTGGAGGAAAGTTTGAGCCTAGTTTACACACAACAGACAGGCAATGGCGGGTCTCTGTATGAACTCGGGCTTGTTAAGATCACTCCATCATCACAGATTGGAATGAAATGTAGAATCAGAGGTTCCTCCCCATTTATCAGACCAAGTTTAGGATAGGATGTAGTGGTTTTGACAGATCTCAAAATGGTAAATT